TCTAATGCCCAAGACTCATGTGAAATAATACAAAGCCAATTTTACATTGGGGGAACTACCCGAGTGCTGATATTTTTAATTTGTGCTATGACTTGTTGCCTTCTGGGCAATGCTATATTTAGAATTTTGGCTATAATCACTTGTTGATCAAAACAATCCTTCAGTGACAGTCATATAATAAGTGCTTCATTTCTAGGCAAAAATTACATTAAGATTTAAGAAAAATCTTATAAACATTAAGAGCATTAACACTAGGGCCAACACCTAGCAACACAACATGCCAACCACTAACAGGTTCATTGAAAGCACATGCACTGCCACGAATTGGAACATGGGGCTAGACCAAAGTATTTAAATTATTAAAGTATTAATTGTGACATAAGAGTCACGAGACGCTATGGCCGAACTGGCAGCTTGACGTGCACCATTATTAGTCACGCAAGTAGGTGTGACCCTAGTCCCCAATACCAACACTAAGTGATTCATTAGCAGTGTATTCACATTAACCAGGAACAATAGCACTGTCACTAAACAAAGCAAGTACTGGCAGTGTGGTTTGATAAGTGTGGTTACATCATATGCTAGAAATAATCAAATTGGATAATTTAAATCAATAATACTATGCACTTAATTCGATTATATGCATAATAATAATCTTGAATTAAAAGTATGAATATGAGAATAAATCTAAATATTCATTCTCAACCAACATGGATATCAAAATCCAAGAATAATGATGATAAGGTTACGATACATGAAATTCTCAATTGAAAAAAAATATTACTTAATAGTAATAATGTTATATAAACATTTTTTTGTGTATCGTAACTGAAAATCATAATATCATCATTATTACCACATAAAATTTGAATAAGCAATTTCAATAGGAATTCTAAAATATGATTCCCATATCATAATCAAGATTATTATGGCAAATCAAAACAAATGCAATATCTAATTGCCACAAAACAATGCCTTTTCCAAAACCATGATACAAAATCACATTTCTTAGCATTTAATTGAAGGTCAAATTTTTTTTGTTTTCAATGTGAGAATAGTCATTGAAACAATTTGGTTGCACAAGGCACATCATTGCTAGCTATATGAACTCAATATTAAAGGTAATATAAGGAAGATCACTACAAGATGACAATCATCTTTAAAAACCATACAGACTGACGTGATAACCACTATACCACAACAACCTTCGACGTGGCTCAGATGACAGGCGCGACGGCGATGGAGGGGGAAGAAAGGTATGAAAAAAACTCATTCTAAACAATTTCTCATTGTACTAAACGAATTATCATACCAAAAATAATTAATCAATCATATTTTTCATGCCAGTATGTAAAAAATAGTGTATATATTGAAAACAATACAATTTTTCCGGAAAAAAAAATATATATCATATGCAAAATTCCAAACTTAGTACATCTAGCAACTAGAATTTTAGATATTGCAAGAAAAATTGTACGCATATTTGATATGAAGTCACATATAAGCATAGGCCAAAAAATTTTGGTTCCTCATCAAATATTCATCAACATCAATATTTTTGGTTCATTGCTACGAAATATATGTATTTGCACAGTAAACTTATTCATTCATGATATACATATTCACAGTAAGTATATACTTACGGATGCAGAAGTATATTATCAAAAAAAAAATATAATCATATGATCAAGTTTCCATAAATTCAAAAATGCATAAAGCATAAACACATATGATTTTGAGGCATCCGGAAAATAATAAGGCATAAAAAACTCATAAAAGTTACCGTTCACCTGGATTGAGCGTGCTGATAACGTGTTGTGGGAGATTATGCCCGTTGGCCATTTAGCTCCTAACCGGTGAATACAGTTGCAAGTGGCACAAAATAAGAAAAGTAGAAGAAAAGTAGAGACAAGATAAGAGACAAGGAAGTTTTATTAATCTTGCATCCAAAACTCTATCTATACAAGAAGGTATTAGCACATATATATAATGTACAATTGTAACGGAAACCATAAGTGTGGTCATAATCCTCCGACCGTTACAAGTGTTATAAACACTATAATAATGTCCACTTAATATTATTTACAACACTCTCTTCATTTTGCTGCTATGGAAGTGATTAATTTCAAAATGGATAATGGATATTTTAGCCCCTTAATTGTGCTATAATGATAAACTCAATCCTTTAATTATACATATGATTTTATTTAGTTCCTGAATTGTTTATTTAGTGGTCATTTAATTTAGTCCTTCACCTCAAATTTTTGTTAAAAATTAATGGTGATGGAAGAGTAAAATTGAAAATTTATTAGCTTTCCCTCAAAACACAAATTCAATAAATTTTGAAGTTGTAACCATTTCTTGTATATGTAATATATATGGAGTATTATTTTTTCTTTTTCTTTTTCCTTCTGTAAATTCATACAAAATAATGTTAACGAATAAAAATAATCCTATAGCTAAATGTTTTCAAAATTATTAAATGAAGTTAAGAAAAGATTAGTTATAAAGTGAAAAAAATAAGGTAATATTTTTTTTTTTTAAAGTTAAAAGCATATTTTGATTCTCTCACAAAATGTGTATATCGTAGTTAGTACAATGTATTTTTCAAAATAATAGTTATATCGAGTAATTGCGAAAATAATGATTTTCGAAAATTCATTTGTACTAACTAAGATGTACGTATTTGGTTGAAAGGAATCAACATATGCTTTTGACTTAAAAGTATTACTTTTAAAAAAAAAAGTTTATTACATGTCATTTCTTAGCTTCCTTTAATCATTTTGAAAACATTATCTATGCAATTATTTTTGTTTATTAAGCATTATTTACATGAATTTATAGAGAAAGAAGAAAGAAAGAAGAAAAATAATATATAGAGTAAATTCCAGATTTAATTATTTGACTACCACTCATTTCTAATTTTAGCCATTAATTTTTAAAGTTACTAAATTTAGTCAACGAGTATTGAATTATTTCAAATTGTAATAATCCACTATAAGTTTTTCCATGTGTGAACTATTAAAATTGAGGGGGAAATCAGGGTTACTAGAATAATAAAACTAGGGCTTTGTTTCCTGCATGTGAGAAACAATTGGTGCAATGGTCATGACTTTTCAATTTTACACTCAATATTAACGACACAAACAGGGAAAAGTTAATGGTGGATTACAATTGAAAATGATTCAATATATACTTGATTAAATTTGATAGCTTTATAAGTCAATAAAACTAAAATAAAAAATGAGTGATAGTCAGAGCCTAGATGACTAAATTCGGAATTAACTCTAATATATATTACATATAATAAATGGTTACAACTTCAAAACTTATTTAATTTCTGTTCGGAGGGAAAACTAATTTATCAAACACTTGATGTGAAGGACTTAAATGGCCACTAAATAAAGAATTTAGAAACTAAATGAGATCAAATATATAATTAAGATACCATTATAACATATAATTGAGGAACTAAAATGACCATTCTCTCTTTCAAAATTAAATACGGAAAACACTATCCTCTAAGTAATACATTGGGCTGTTTGGTAAAATATTAGCTTATCAGTCAATTTTGACTTATTTGACCACTATTAACTATTTGACTTTAAAAAATCAAATTCAAAATGTTAAAATTCAAAAAGCTGCTTTGAGCAGTTTTTTCAATTAGCTTTTTGAGAAAAGAAATTATACCAAAAAGCTAACAGCTAACAACTAATTTACCAGACACTTTCCTACCATCAGCTAATGTTATCAACTAGTTATACCATCTAATTAACCCAATCAGTTAACAGCTAACATCCATTTACCAAACAGGACCATTTTCTGTATCTCCCAGTTTGCAGGGGGTGTTTTAGATCATGAACAGTAAAGCTTATTTACCTCACATAATCATCATCATCATCAAGAAAGCATAAAAAGCTTCCAGTAAAATCCACAAGGAGCTGTACAAGCCAGCGACTATATACAGTGAGCAATATCTACTCAGGTAGCCGGACAATTATTGCTCGTTATGTACACTTATATTCCTAGCTAGCTAGCTATTTTTGCACCTCTTTCAACACTATCTTGCAAATATACTATTCTTTAAAATGCATATAGTTGTATTATAAGGAGATATTGTAGTGTAAATTGCTCTCAAAAATTGGGTAACTATGCCAATGAGCTTGTGGTCTAGTGACACGAAGTGACTCTCCGAAATATAAGAGGTTATGGGTTCGATCTTATAATTGATAGATATTGATTTTATGTACACTAAAAGAAGGTGAGAATGACAATCAAAAGGAGAAGATCTTATAATTGATAGATATTGATTTTATGTTACACTAAAAAGAAGGTGAGAATGACAATCAAAAGGAGAAGATCTTATAATAATTGATAGATATTGATTTTATGTTACACTTAAAGAAGGTGAGAGTCCAAAGGAGAAGAAATAGAAAAAAAGTTACACATGCAGGTATCCCATTTCACTTCTCATGGACTCCAAGTCTATGTTCAGGTTTTATAAAGTGTAGTTTACTTCTTTTGTTAAATCAGTCAAAAAATGTAACATTAGCAAAGAGTTAAAAAAAATAAAGTAGGAAGTGAAAATCATGCATGCAATATTACTTGCTTTACTTCGTACTTTATACTAGTGATCACTTTTTCTCATTTTTCAAAAAAAAAAAATTATTTTGAACACAATCAAAATAGACCACATATCAAAAATAAAACTTCTGGAAAATACATTTGGAATTTTCCATTGAAAAAATGGACACGACACATTCAAAAAGCTAAGCTAAGCCAAGCCTGCGGGTCCTAAGGCTTACAACAACACAACAAAACAAAAACAAAAGAGTAACCCAACCTATACGAACTTGAATTGTAAGTTCACAAGTTTAAATCTCAGCCTTTTTAGTTTGAACCGATCAGCTATGAACAAACTAGGCTGGTTTGATTTACCGATAGAATCACAAGGTGGGATTTATTCAGTGCGATCCAGTAGAGAATGAGAGGAGAAAGAGTTACATGCACGAGGAAGAAGTTTGAGACAAGAGCTCATCTAACAGATCAGATCCCAAGTCCTCAAAAACCAAAACACCATTATTATTCGTTTCCTCCTCCTTCTCGCACGAGGGCGGATTTGCTTTACCATGCCGCCGGGTTCTTTTCTTGTGCTTCTCCTTCAGAGCAGCAGCCATGGACGTCCCTTCTTTGCAGTCCAATTCTTCCAAGGATTTGCGCACAAACTCGGCCGGGAAGTTGAGGGAAGCCGAGGTGCCACGCATCGCTAGAGCGGCCTGGTCGTAAGCCAAAGCAGCATCCTCGGCGCAGTTGAAAGTTCCGATCCAAACCCTCGTCCCATTCCGGGTTGAATCCCTAATCTCCGCCGCATATTTCCCCCATGGCCGCTTTCGTACACCTATGTAGTTGCTTGCCTTGGCGGAAGTATCTGTTTCCATTCAATTTTGGTTATTTGAGTATGCTTAATTTGGAAAAGTTTAGGCGAATATATATGGAGTAAGATGTGTATGTAGGCAGCATGTTATTACATCAAAACCATTGTTTTGGCACTGGGGGTTGAAATAGTGTGCGTAGCTTTATGTACTGCTACTGCGGGCATTACTGTCCAGTTAAACGCCTCATTTGCACGATGATAATTCAATATTGGAATTATTATTTTGGGGGTTTTCAAACCACATCCATATTGGTATCCAAAATATCATGTACAATCGTACATGATATCTTTCATTAGATCTTATATTATTAACTATTCCTTTTATACTTGATGCATAAAAATAAAGGGTAACAAGTGATCAAATCTTTGACTTCATTAATCAAATATTCGACCCGGCTCACGTATTGAGACCTGTAAGACGGTCTAACACAAGTTTTTGTCAAAAATAAATGTTTAACATTAGTATTTTTTTTTTTTTTTGGAAACGTCTAACATTAGTACTTAATGTTAAAATTTTAGTTATACAGAAATATTTTTTTTTTTAAATAGTTGTATATAATTTTTTTTTAAAATCATAGTGGTAGAATTCAATTCATATTATATTAAAAAGTATAGTTGATAATTTGGATAGAATATTATGGCATGATAAATAATTTTTAAAGTACAAATTTTAAATACGGTAAATGAATAAATATAATTATGATAGCACTTATTATACACTACTAATAGAAGTTTAATGGTGCAAGGATAATTTTGTCCAATAGAAATGATAGTACAAAATATGTGCAACACAATAATGTACAACTCAATAAGTATAAAAATCTTCATGTTTCGTATGTACATAATTGTATAGTAGAATGCACATAAACTCCTAACATAATACACATAATCTAACATAATACATAATATACACACTACAAGAAATTTCACATTAAGTGATAATAGAAGTTGTACAAAAACTCTTAACATAATACACATAAACTTTTAACATAATACACATAAACTCTTAACATAATGCATATAAACTTTTAGAGCGCACAATGCAATGTGCACCCTGGTGCACTATATAATTTTCCGATATGTTTAAAGCCTAGCCTATAGGGCTACAAGCTTGCCATATATATGCAGTTGAGTGTCTCCCGTGCGGTTGTGCGGGTGATTAATATGCGAGATTTTTATACTTAAGGTGCGTGAGTCTTGTGCTTAAGGTGCGTGAGGTTTGTGTTTAATGTGCGTGAGTGTATATTGAATTTTGTGCTTAATGTGCGTGAGTTTTGTACTTAAGGTGCGTGAGTCTTGTGCTTAAGATGCGTGAGTCTTGTGCTTAATGTGCGTGAGTGTGTACTTAATGTGAGTTGTTGTTGAAACTTAAGGTGCGTGTGTTTTTCTGCTTAAGGAGCGTGTGGCTTGTGCTTAACATGTGTGAGACTTGTGCTTAACATGCGTGAGTTTTGCGCTAAACGTGCGTGAGTTTGTGCTCTGAAGGTGTTTTGTTTGTGTGCTTAATGTGCGTGTGTTGTGTATTTAAAGTGCGTCCAACCACACAACCGCACGAAAAGCCCCTCCCACACCTGATCTCTTCCTTATATATATATATATATATATATATATATATATATATAAGATTATTATATATTTCACGTTTACTTATTATGTTTTTATATTTATAAAATGAAATTAATTATATATATCAAACACTAAAAGTTAAATCCCCAATTTTCAATTTCAACATTTTCTTGTCTCTCCCTGCTTCCCTCATAGCAGAGTAGCATACCCATCATTGCATACTGCATAATAGTAATCGAGGCAGTGGAGTAGAACATTGATTGATCAACAGTTTATCTTGAGATCTTATCTTAGTTTTTAGTTCTTTTTAAAAAATTCGATTTAGGTTGATGATGCTTGTTGTTATCACTTATCAGTACTTTCACACTTGTATTTTATGACGGCAACTGTTTGTCTATTATTGTTACATTAAGGTTTTTTTTTTTTTTTTTTTTTTTTTTTTTTTTTTCTTTTTTTTTATCTACAAATATGTAAGTTTTATAAAGTGAATAACTTGTAGATCTTAAATAGACTCCAAGCTTTTTTAAAGCCTACAATAGAGTATCTTTAATGACCTACATATTAAACAGGCATTTAAAAATGATTCAGGCCAGGACAAGCCTATTGTAGACTCAGACTTAGGTCTAAAAAAAAGCCTACATATAGACTCATGCCACAAGTTCTCATAGCATACTTAGGCCTAATTTTTTAAAGTTTAGTCCGGTCTAGCCTATTTTCATCGGAGCGTTATGCCCTGGACCCGTGTCCACCATGTGCATGGTGGACAGCTGTACATTCATAATTTCTATACTGTAGATTCATAAAATTTATAATGTAGATTCATAATTTCTATATTGCACATTCATAATTTCTGTACTGTAGATTCATAATTTCTATACTGCACATTCAACTATAAATGGTATATATATATATATATATATATATATATATATTAATGTGAATGTATATATATAAATAGGTCAGGTCTATTGGCTTAAAGGCCGAGCTTGGTATATATAAATCTGTCCTGTTTAGTTTAATATCCATGCTTTGAAATGGGCCTAAGCCTAGCCTTTTTACTAAACAAGCTTGTAACTCATAACTAGGTAAATTTGGCAATTTATATCGTGCACCACGGCGCACATAGCAATTTGCGCCCAGGCATGAAACGCGCGCGTTTCATGCTGACGTCGTGCTGATGTCATTTCGTCTATCCGAACAGACCAAACCTCATTATGTGTATTCAGTTAAAATTCTATGTGTATTGTGTTTGAGTTTATGTGTATTCAGTTAAGAGTTTATGTGTATTATGTTAACCAAACTCATTATGTGTATTCAGTTAAAAGTTTATGTGTATTGTGTTATGGGTTTATGTGTATTATGTATTATGTTAGATTATGTGTATTCTATTATGAGTTTGTGTGTATTCTGTTATAAGTTTATGTGCATTCGAAAGAGGGGGTTTTTTTTTTAACAACTTAACAAAACGACGTCGTTTTGGGAGGCGCGGGGCGCACAGTGCTATATGCGCCTTGGTGCACGGTATAACAATTGGGCAAATTTTACTGTGGACCATGGTCCATGTAGTAATGTGGTTCATGAAGTAAGATCATTCTAATTACAATTTAGTTTCATTTGACAATATTATTCAGTTTTCCAGTTTCATTTTCCACACTCACTAGTTTCATTATAGCAATACCAAAGTATTATTTTAATTCTACTACAATTTCATTTGACAATATACATATTGTATAAGCTCTATTTTGTAGTTTCATTTATCAGACACGCTTGTTTAATTATAATAATGCTAAAGTATTGTTTTAATTACACTCCACGTTCAATTGACAAGATATATTATTGTATGGTTCTGGATTTTAGTTTCATTTTCCACACATACTAGTTTCATTTGACAATAGACATTGTTGAATGATCTCTGTTTTTCAGTTTCATTTTTCACACACTTGTTTCATTTTAACAACACTAAAGTATCATTTTAATTATACTACAGTTTCATTTGATCACCATGGTCCACATAGCACTATGGACCGTGGTCCACTGTATAACAACCAGCTTAACTAGGCCTTAAATAGGTCATACCATAGGGCATAGGCCCATAGAAAGGGGCATGGCCTATTCCCATCCTTACCAGGCGTGTTAGTGGGGATGACAATTTGCCCCGTCTCTGACGGGGATCTCCGATCCTCGCCCCGATGGGACAAGGACGGGAAAATTTTTCGGGAAACGGGGATATCTCGCTCGGCCTCGTCCCCTAATAATTATATATATATATATATATATATATATATATATATATATATATATATATTAAAATTTATGTTTTTAATTTTAAAAATTAAAAATTATACTAACTTAAGATTTTGAGTAAGAGTTGATTGGAGACGGATTCCTCGGGGGACATGGATATAGACTATTTTCAATTCCTCACTAAAATAGAGATGGGAATCAGGACGAAGTCGGGGTTTCGATGACAGGGGTGGGGAGTACCCAGCCTCTTCCCATTGTCATCCCCACGTGTCAGGGCCGTATTTTAAGTTTTGGTGGCCCTGTTCTGGTAAATAAATGTGGCCATACCAAAATTACAATTTTTAAAGTCAATACATGTAAGTTTCGAACCTTTGACCTCCAAGTTAAAATATAATAAATACACATTTTTACCACCTCTTCATAGAACATTTTAAATTTAATTGAGGGCCCTATGTAGTAGCCCAGTTTGCACAGCCTAAAATCTGCCCAGCTACATGTAGGTGATGTCTCTAGCAATTCAAAATCATAGGGCTGGTAGCCTTGAGATGTTAGTAGTCCACATATCAAGCTAGGATAAGGTAACTCTACATTTGGATCCTTAGGATCCATAAATGGCAGCACCTGGTGATAGAGTTAATTATCGTTTTGGTTTTTCAATTATTTTCCAACTATTAATTAATTTGATTATTGAATTGTTTAAAATTTTGTTAATTAAATCTTTTCAGTGATCAAAATAGTGATTTTTACATTTTTAAAATTTTGTTAATTTGGTCTCTTGAAAAGGTTTAATTGAAAAAATTTTAAACAATTCGAGGATTAAATTGATTGAAATTGAAAACTAGCGACTACATTGAAAATTGAGAAACAATTGAGGGATCAAAATGTTTATTTTTCCCGTGATAGATTATTTCTCCAAGGTCAATTAGAATACAGAGGCTAATTTTGTAGATTAATTCAGTCATCTTCAAGTTTAGTGGCGCAAATTTGTGCTAGCTATTTTGTGAAGGAAAACATATTTGGAGCTAAAAAAAATTGCAGTCAGGCCTTGTTGATCACTTAGCCAACTCAATACAACTTCTCCTGTGATGAAAATGTTCTTCCACACACAATGTTGATTAGGATGAATTGCTTAATCATGTAGAAAGAGGGAGATGAAAGCCATTGTATTCACAACCACTGCACAACTTGCAAGGT